TCCCCCACTAGCAGTGGTTTAACTACTCCACGCCGCTAGCGAGTATTGTATTTTGTTGATTTTATAAAGATTACCATTTCATATCCAACCTCTGTTTTGGTTAGTTCTCATTCAATAACCCTTTCTAGGTTACAGCAAAAATAAAAACACATTCGTTCTTTACTCTATTTTGCTTTTATTAAACCTACAAATGTGTCAGATCATTTTGCCGTACCCTGTATAAGTGGACACTGAGGTCAACAAAGAAAGGTGACAGTCTTTTTTATACTTGAATACAATCTTCATGCCATATGTCAGAAGACTGCGCATCAGCATGAAACAAACTGTCGCCGATCGGTGTTAACCTCAATGTCCACTTTTATATTTACATAAGCTCTATACCATATATTGTCCACATATACCCATGAACATAGCATACCATGAAACTATATTTTTATCACACACACACACACACACACACACACACACACACACACACACACACACACACACACACACACGCACACATATATATATATATATATATATATACAGTGGGAAGAAACAAATATTCGTACGCATAAAATTTTTAATCTATTGTATTTCTAACTAATGAATAAGCATACTTTTCATATAATTAACTGTACACAGATGCATAATAACTAAATATGCATAGAAAACAGAAAAACTGATTTATCCATTTTAATCTGTGAAAAAAGTATTCGTACAATACAAAATAGTACATAATCTTCATTTAATACTTCGTAGAATCGCCATTATTCACTTCTACAGCAATCAACCTCTTCTTGTAGTTCTCAGTTAATGATTTGCAAATTTTAGTCGGCTTCTTCGCATGTGGTCTTCAGATCCGGGATGTTTACTGGAGCTCTCGAATGGATTTGAATTTTCAAATGACACCACAAATTCTCGATTGGTTTTAGATCTGGGGACTGACTTGGCCATTTCAGCATATTTACATTATTTTTAGTAAATCATTCCTTCGTAGATTTTGCAGTGTGTTTAAGATCATTATCTTGCTGGAAGATCCAATCATGAGGAAGTTCAAGATTTTCAACCGAAATCATTAAATTTACTTCCAAAATATTTTGATATGCTGTGGCATTCATTCTACCATCTCTTACTGATATGTTGCCAGTACCTTTTCGAGAAAAAAAAAACATCCCCAAATCATGATGCTGTCACCACCAAATTTCACTGTTGGAACTGTGTTCTTTTGTTTGAAGGCTTCGCCATCTTTCCTCCAAACATGGTTTCTAGAATTACGTCCAAACAACTCCATTTTGGTTTCACCTGTGTCCATAATACGATTTCCCAATATGATTTTTCCTTATCCATATGTTCACGAACGAATTTCAACCTGGCATCTCTGTGTCTTTTCAATATCAATGGAGTTTTCCGAGGGGAGTGTGACTTTTAATTGTTCCTATGAATTTAATTGCTTATTGTTCGTTTAGTGACACAGGTTCCTGATGAAAGCAAATCATCCTACAATTCTTGATGAGTAATCACTGGATTTTGTTTAATTTGACACATTAATTTCCTCGAAGATCATGAAGAAATTTTCCGTGGAGCACCTGTTCTTCTTTGGTTTTCAACAGTTTTGAGTTTTTTCAAATACCTTGCATTGAATGAACTTATGTCAGTAAATGGAATATTCAGGTTGTTTGATAATTTCCGGTAACTTTTATCTTCTTTCAAGAGTTTAACAATCAGTTCTTTTTTGCGAATTTGTCAATTCTTTACCACTTGCCATGATGATAACCTTCTTGCACGAATATCAATTACAGATTGTTCTGTTTGTATTTTTTAGGCTAAAAATGACTACTGATAAAATTATTGGAATATTCTAGTATATTCCACTTGAATAATCTAAAGCAATTTAAAAGTTTTAAAATCTGAAATTTGTATTGTACGAATACTTTTTTCACACATTAAAATGGATACATGTGATTTACTTCTATTAAAATCAATTTTTTTTGTTTTCTATGCATATTTAGTTATTATGCATCTGTTTACAGTTAATTATCTGAAAAGTATCTTTATTCATTAGTTGGGAATACAATAAATTAAAAGTTTTATGTGTACGAATATTTGTTGCCTCCCACTATATATATATATATATATATATATATGTGTGTGTGTGTGTGTGATAGAAATTATTAGGAGGATTTGCGATAATCATAATTAAGTAATTCATCGAGTCTAGAAACCTGAAACAGAATGCAGAAAGCACTGAACGGCCGTTTCATTTCTATATTTGGGATTCATCAGCAGTGCGCATCCACTACCACGTCCATTATATATATATATATATATATATATATATATATATATAGTATAATTAAGAGCGCATCCACTACCGAGAATTGAAACCCGAACAGTTACGATATCAGGCAAACGTGGTGGAACTCATCCGCGTTTCCCTTACCCATAGGACTGTGCCCCCACGAGCCACGATACTATCCCCAAGTCGCTCCATCCAGGGCATTAGAATCCGGTTCAAACAAGGATATACAAGGATAGAAATTATTTGGAGGATTTGAGATAATTATAATTAAGTAATTCATCGAGTCTAGTAGAAATCTCAACATAATACAGAAAGCACTAGACTATAGAATCTTTTATATATATATATATATATATATATATATATATATATATATATATATATATATATATATATATATATATATATATATATATATATATATATATAGCGTATATTCATTCAAACATGTTTCATTAAATAATATATGCATATTATGTCTATTTATTTTTATGATAATCCTTTCTAGTTTTTTTAATCAGCTTTTTGATGATCAAGAAAGACGCCATATTTTTTTTTTATACCCAAATATTTTCAATCCTCTTCGAGATCATCCTCGGTGATGAATTGCAAAGACAAACTTATTGTAACTGTGATCGTTGTGATGGTGATTTGTTGAAAACACGCGTGAATGCTCTCTGTTTTAGTCATTTGAAATTTTAAATTAAAAGCGTCCCAATATAAGGGAGCTAGCCAGAAATGGTAGAAATGACAATTACATGTTGGTCAAATGCACTTCAAAACATTGTCGCTACATTCGTAATAAATTTTGTTCAGTGTTGGTTGGTTGCTTTTGATATAGAGTACCTCGAAAAATTTTTGTTTATTATTTTCATGGTGTAGTTTATTGGTGCTGTCAACAAGTATTTTCCTGTATTGTGAAGCTGAGCAGGAAGGTGTCTTGAAATTTTGCGAAATTTTTCTATTGTCCAACATCTAAAGACACATTCCTGTCTACCTTCAACATTTTTATTGTATTCACGTTTTACGAGTAAAAAAGAAAAATAGCAAAGTACGTCTATAGAAGCAAATTTTTATTGTACTAGAATTATTTTTGCAACTTAAAATCCGCACAGTATCTCACTAGTCTATCGCTAGCTTTTTTCGCCGAGATTTACAAACTATGTTTTGTTTAATTTCACAAAGCAATCGATGAAATTTGAATAGGCTGATTTTTTTTGGAAAAATACTTTGACAAAAAAAACCTACTTCGCGGTTTAATAATTTCTTTAATTTAATTTAATTTAATTTTATAGAACTTCATGATAAACAATATTTTTAAAGAAAAAAAAAACCTCTTTAACAGCGAAGAATAAATTCTTAGGATTTCTTACTCTTGGACATGCGACATACAACTGGCCATGCGTAGATATTTCTTTCTGGAAACAAATTCCAACTTTTTAATGCGTTTGACCTTGTAATTTGTCGCAAACTCAAGGCGAAATGGAAACCGGATTCTTGTATATATAAAAGCATAACGAAAAGATATGCAAAAAATAATATTGCATTTTTATTAAATAAGTATTTGTTATTTTAATCATTAAGTTGATTTTAAAATAGTGGAAGTATTTTTCATGTTAAATAAAGAAAACATTAAATTTTTCAAAAAAAAAAATAGTGAAAATTTATTGTACTAAGCTACGCACCCTAATTAAACCAATTGTACTCCTCCTCCCTTGCCTGATTGCACTTCTTCCCAAAATTTGGTTTTGATCGGTCAATATATGACTATTTTAAAGGGTGTGACGGACGGACAGACTAACAGAAGCCACAGAATTTTATATATAGATTTACAGCTTACATGTAAAACGAAGGAAAAATAAAAGAAAATACGGCGGAAACAATTATTTATTTTACCGATAAGAAACTAAAAAACAAAAAGAAGAATGCGATTTAGGATAACTGCAGTTCTTATGTTACAACGTTTTCTGAACTTCCTTCACCCAATCCAGAAGCCCAGCAACATTAGCATAAACACCAAATCCGCTATCACAGTCGAAGACATAAGAAGCAACACCGGCAACGACGTAGTTACGACCGGACTTGCACATTAAAGGACTTCCGGAATCGCCCTAAAAATAAATTAAAAAAAATTAAATTAAAAATAAGATAAAATGTTGAGTGAGATAACATGAAATTTACACGTTTATTAATTTTAGAGATGATATTTTTTTTAATTAAAAAAGAAAAAAAATCAACATATTTAAAAATATATAATATTTAGTAACACATTTCTTGGTCTTATTTATTGCCTCTTCACGTCTCTTACGTTTAAAACGTAAACTTTGTTTTTTTATTCTATAACTGTTGACACATAATAATATTATATTGAATATTACATATATAAGTGATTACATTTATAATTTAATAAAATGTACTCCCATCTCCTTAGCAATGTTTTCCTTAGACAATTTCACTCTTACGTCTTAGTGGCATTGTCGCCTTACTTGTGGTGAAATGGTAAAAAAAAGAGTGTCCATTTTTTTCTAAATCACCAAAACAATTTCAGCCTGTTCAGCATCCCAGGGAAAACCTTATTTGGAAACTTTAACAGAAGGTGCAAATAAGAGTGATACATTTATGGAAATACTTTTATTGAAATCATGTTTGTAATCGTAACAACAGTTTTGCTTTTCTGAAAAATTCAGTCCTGCATATTTCTTAACATTTTTAATCAACACAGATAGATAGATAGATAGATAGATAGATAGATAGATAGATAGATATGAAAAGATTTAGATAGATAGATAGATAGATAGATAGATAGATAGATGTATATGTGAATAGACATGGATAACCAGATAGATAGATAGATAGATAGATAGATAGATATAAGCAGACAGATAGATATAAACAGACTTAGATAGATAGATAGACAGATAATGAACAGACAGAAATATATATATATATATGTGTGTGTGTGTGCGTGTGCGTGCGTGCGTGCGTGTATGTGTGTGTGTTTATATGTATGTATATATATGAATATTGGACACGTGGCCGAGTGGTTAGAACGTTCGCTTTCTGACCATGAGACCCGGGTTCGAATCTCACTATTGTCGGTTTGTTATCGGATTGAATCGAGGTCGATCCTACCATGCGGCACCTTTGGAAAGTGCCTGAAATCATATCACTGGTTGACCCTTGTGAGTGAAACTGGGTCCGTCGATAGCCGTGTCAGCACGAAGTCAAAAGTCATTGTCGCCGAGGATTTGAGCCTGCTGTTCAATGCTTGTTCAGATTGTGGATCACGCTAGATAACACGCTCTCTCCTAGAAACTGTAACGACGCGTTTCGTCCGATGATGGATTTTAATAATGGAAGATATTTGCCGTGATAAAGTCCATCAGAGGATGAAACGCGTTTGTAAAGAATAAATTTCCCTTTGTCTTTATATATATATATTTGTGTGAATAAATAAAATGAAAAAACTATATATATATATATATATATATGTGAAAAGTGTGTGTAAATAAATATATATATATATATATATATATAATTATTTATATATTATATGCGAGGTGCTTATTAGAAAGCGCTCAATATCAGAGATAGAGCTAACATATTTAGTTGGATAGATGTGAGTTTGTGACCCTGGGTTTCACGCTTTAGTGATCGTCAGACAACGCTAAAGCGTGAAACCCAAGGTCACAGGCTCACATCTATCCAACCAAATATATATATATATATATACACACACATATGGGGCGCACTTGTGTGTGTGAGGGAGAGGAATAGAGAGAGAGAGATATAGAAATATAGAGAGAAAGATAAATATCTATAGGGAGAGAGACAGAGAGGGACAAAAAGAGAGAGGTTGATGCACTCCAAAGATCGGGCACTTAAAGGGCATAATGGACAGAGAGATTGATTGTTCTCTTTAGTGCGATCTTCATTGGCGTAAGTCCTATATATCTTTTTATATCTATCTATCTATCTATCTATCTATCTTCATTCCATATACTAAGAAAAGTGCTATTAATTAAATAACAATTCTAAAGACCATAGTTTCGATAGAAAAGACGCCTTTTTGACTTCTTGTGGTTCTGTCAAACCCAAACGGTGTACTGGTAACACACTACCGCATCCCATGACACTAGAAGTCAATACACTTTCAACTGAGTGTCATATCTTTATCTTAACTATTATCGTCTTTTTTTTTCTTTTTTTTCTTTTTTGCTCAGAACACGGACAATGAATGGTCAGACCATTTGCAAAAAAAAAAAAAAAAAAAAAAAAAAAGAAAGAAAAAAAGAAACCAACCGAGACATTTGGAACTTACCGAGCAGATATTCTTGCCCAAATGGGATCTATCACCGATGCAGATATGCTTATCCTGGAAGATGCCGTAATAATGTCTTTGACATTCTTCGTTAGAAATAATATCTAATGTGGCCTTCCTCATGTGGTCCGGGCCGTCTTCAGCATCTGTTAATTAAGAAGCGAAATCCGTTAGCCTCTGTAAGATATGATCACGTGCAAATTCTCGCAAGTAACAATGTCGGCAAATTGGTCAAGGGCTACATTTGAAACACCATTGACACTAAATTTTTCATTCATTCACAATATCATTGAGGGATTAAAACTAATAATAATAATAATAATAATAATAATTCCAGTTATAGTTGAACATGTTATGAAGCCATTTCTGACCTTAGGTTGGGATCCGAAATAAAATGTGTATACAACAAAAATCAAAGGAAATAATAATAATAATAATAATAATAATAATAATAAAGGAACTAGACCAAGATGGTACATAAAAGCCCTGATGAATTAATGAAGGAGACGGAATACAACTTTCAGTTATGCAGAAAAAGATACGAAAGGATTTATTATAAGAGAGTGCATTTGATACTAGAAAACGAACTTAATAGAGCCAATAAAATGAAGGCTATCAACACCTCAGCTATACCTGTAGTAAAATACAGCTTCAACATTATTAAATTGAAGTTGAATGACATTAAATAATTGGACACCAAGACCAGAAGAATGCTTACCCAAATGAGGATGTACCACCCGAAATCAAATGTTGATAGGCTGTACGTACCAAGAGCTTTAGGAGGACGAGGTCTTATCCAACTTGAACTAACTCTAAAAACTACAACAATCTGATTGGAAGTATATCTAAAAAAAACGAATGATCCTCTCCTACAAATAGTAAAGCATGAAATTCACTCCATCAACAAAGAAGCTGCACTCTTCACGAAACAGCCTAATATACCAACAAAAAACGAAGCAACTACCATTTACATCAAACGAGTAAAACAGAAAGCAAAACAACTTGGCCAAACGAAATTACAAAATTTAAAAAAAATGGATGACAAGGTGTTGCATGGCAAATACATAAAAAGAACGACAGAAGCAGATGTAGACCAAAAGAAAACACACCAGTGACTGACGAGCACCAGGCTGAAAGCTTAGACAGAAGGCCTAATTATTGCAGCTCAGAATCAAAGCCTCGTTACCAGTTCCTATCACTGTCACATAATCAACTATGAAATTAACCCCAAATAAGGGATCTGCGGAAAATATGATGAAACTGTCGACTATATTATCTTGGCATGTCCGGGACTAGCAAAAAATGAATATACCCACAGGCATAACAACGTAGTGACATATGTTCATTGGAAGATATGCAAGAAGCACAAAATCGAAACCACTAAGGCATGGTATGACTACCAACCAGACACAGTTACTCAGAATAATCATGTAACTATCCTCTGGGATATGCCAATTCAAACTGACAGGGAAATAAAAACCAACAGACCTGATATTATCACAAAAGACAAGAAATTCAGAAAGTGTATGCTTAGTGACATAGAAATACCATTTCAGAGAAACACCTCCATGAAACTTATCGAGAAATTGTCCAAATATGAGTACCTAGAGATCGAAATTAACAGGATGTGGGGAATGAAGACTGAGACTGTACCCATAGTAATCGGAGCACTGGGCCTCATGAGAAAAAGAAGGGACAATTTTACTAACAGTGTTCAAGGTTACATCAAGTACATACAAATTGTCCAGGCTCTACTAGGAACTCCCCATATACTAAGAAAAATACTATCAATTAAATAACAATTCTCCTATAGGGCCTAAGGACCATTGTTTTGACCCGGCTCTACAGGATACAAAGCAGGAATCATAACATACACAAATAATAATAATAATAATAATAATAATAATAATAATAATAATTCCAGTTCTAGTTGAAAATTTCATGAAGCCATTTCTGACCTTAGGTTAGGATCCGGAAGGAAATGTGCATACAACAGAAATCCAAGGAAATAATAATAATAATAATAATAATAATAATAATAATAATTAAAATGATTAATCTAAGAACTAAACAATAATAAGATGGAGTAAAACTAGCAATAAAATAATAACAATAATATCTTAAATCGAGATTTTGTTTGTGTGTTTTATTAGGCTGTTTGAATGAGAGCAGTAATACAAAAAATTCACTGGCATAAAGCAAATTGGCTTCTAATGAAGCCTTA